TCGAAGCTGAAGAAACTCCCGCCGAAAGCAGACGCCGCCCCTGTGTCCCCGGCGAACGTGCTCCCGCAATCCTCACGCTCAAGCGGGAGACACATGGTGCGATTTGGCATCAGACGCCACGTACGACGGTTCACGACACATGGGGCGAACAGCCATGGGCGCTCAGGCTCCGCCCACATTCGGCCCGCCAGTTTGCATGCTCGGACTACATTGTATCCTTTTTATTAGGCGCGAAATAAAGAAGCTCACGCCGCCATGCCTTGTTGTCTAATAATGCCAACAAAGCTACGCCTTCGCAAGGGACAAACGTCGACACAGCCCACATTCATTACGGACTCTGAGCGTAGGCCTAGCAAGGCCGATGTTCTCGGTAGCGCCGCTCTCTTTTTAACGTGAGCTCATTGTCCAGCGCTTCTTTTTACCAACACGATAAAACCTCGTACACCTAAATTACGCTTTCAACCATCCAACATGTTTATTCGACGTCCTCGATGTAAAAAAGCAAAGGTGGGAACGAAGCGGGCCGGTTCGCCGAGACCGGTGGTACCACTGTTTGTTTACTGGCGGGCAAAATGGAGTCCTATCATGGCTCGACATCTCGTGGTTGGTTCGAAAACCGGCGTTGCCTTGCAGAAATAGCACACTTCAAGCATCACTTTGTTCAATCATGAGTTATTTTACGTCAGAAACACTTTATTCAACGTTTTTGATGCCACCGGCAACGGTGATATCCAAAAATACGAGGGTGATTGGAGTGGTGAGGAAGAAACAGGCGACGGCGCCTACCTGTGGCACCCCTTGTCACGCTCCCGCGCTGCCATTGGCTGCGGCCACCAAACGAGTTCGGCAGCGGTGCGGCTACATTCAGCAAGTTGGATGCATGCGGGGCGTGCGAATCGTCGCCGCGTGCTGTTGGACGCCTGTCGGATGCGGCTGTTGGCCGGACCAGCCATATGGCAAATCGCATCCGAATCCGCACCACGTGCCTCCTGCTTGACACTGTTCTGCCCACAACGCTCGGCGTTGTTGCGTGCGTTTGACATCGCTAGGCAACTCGACGGCTTGATTTTCAGGATCCGCCCGCCACCGGCGCTTGCATTCCCGTTCGTGATCAGCACGACTTGGAAGGCTGATGAATTGTCGGTATGCAGTTATTGCCGGCACTTGGCATCCCGGGCCTGTTTTCGCACATACTGCTGCATTAGTCTGGTGTTGCAGACCGGGGGTCTACCCAACATGTCCCCGCTGACGTGGGTCCGACATGTCCCTGCGACGGCAGAGTTACGTCGGACCCAGACACTTGTGGTGGCGTGGAAGAACTCCGGGTAGAGAAAACAATGCTAAGTTGGGGTAACAAAAAAGACAGGTTTAATGGCACTATTTACCTTTATTTACAGCACAAGAGGTCAGGGTTCCGCAAACCACGAGCGTGATGGATGAACCGTTAAACGATGGTTCAGAGCGACATCCTGCACTTTACAGCGTCGTTTTCAGCCCTGCCGTGCTCCTCCTCTTTGATTGAAACACTCATTACTCACATGACGCTACCCACTATGGCATCAGCCAATAACACACGGTCGCCGTGTAGTCATTGCACCAGCCGACGGTCATGTTCCTCCGGTCATTTTCACTGATAAAAGGGAGAGTGCGGCCTTCCACGGAGCGAGTTGGCGGGCGGTTGCTCACTGCCGTCTTTCCCTGGAAGAGCAGCGAAGGATTAGTGACTTAATTGCTTTGTCACTACCTGTGAGGTTGGTCGGTCGCGCCGCCTCCCCAAACAAGCTATCACGGCGGAAATGCCTGTGGAGACGTTGACTCATGGACCGTCTAAGTTGCCACATTCTTATCCCTTTGTTGCTTCGCGCCGCTTGACGCTCTTTCCAAGAGAAAAACACTGTGGTTCCAGGTCGTGGGAAAGCGTCCCAACTGTGCTTCTCATAGACAGTATATCGGCGATGAACGAAAGTCACAACACCGGTAAATGCGAGCTCTCTCACGTTTCCACTGTCAGCGCTCTTCTAATGATGTGCCTGGCGTACCCTTACGGGAGCTCTCAGAAGAAACTGATGCGCGCCTGCTCAGCGCCACCGCTGCGACGGGATGGACGACGACCCTCGCAACGCAGCCAATGGCGCGCGTGCATTGGTGAGCGCTGAGAACGGCATAACTGATCGCATGGCCAATGAAGACCTCTCGTGACAGACACCGATGGCTACCGGTTTTTCGTTTCTAGCCATATACAGCTTTCGCTCTTTTAATTGACAAAAGAGTTTTTGGGGTCATCAGTCCAGGGCTCCATTGAACTTCGCGGTCGAGCAGAGCAAGCTGGCTCTCCCGATCCTTGCTGGTAAGGTGAGCAGCTATGTCTACCAACTGTATGGAATATTCCGCAAATAGTACTGATATTGACCTCGCTTACGATTGTACGAATCCTGCCTGAAATTTCATTTGAAAAATATTATATTTCTGAAATGAAGAAAGTTGCAAAATTCAATAAAACAGCGTGGCTCTCGCAGTTAGCCCCGGCTCTTTGCGTAGTGAGTCGCAGAGGCCACGCAAACAACATCATGGTACGTCCCACAGCTACTAGAGGACAGTACGCACTCCTGTCATCATCAGCAGCAGCAGCTTCATCATTTAGCAGAACGGCCAGATTTAGTCGAATATATTGACTTCTCAATTCTTTTTCAAGTTTCCCTTTCTCTGTGCCCATACTCGCAGACTGGTGGGTATTGTGCGCAGGTGAGGATTTCATTGTGTCGCTTTTCGTGTGACCTGCTGCCGCACCCGACGCTGCTGTGTTCAACGGTACGTTCGACTGGTCGTTGTAGAGTCTTCCGGAGGCCTCAGTAACCACAGTCCAAGCGTGCTCAAAAGACTCTTTGAACTGGGAGTCATGTTGCGCAAGGATGCTGTCGTTTCACCCCAGGACAGCTGGCATTCCTTATATGTTCAATAATATGCGCCAACCGTTGAGAGCCGCGAAGCAGGATCGTCCGTCGTCGGTCATCTCTTGCACCCCTCCTGCGCTTCTTTTTTCCCCCAAGAATCTCGCACTATGAGCTTCTTCTCTTTCTGTTGGCTCAACAGCATTGTCGTTCTGGTCGTTCTCACTTTTTCTTACCCACACCACATGACAGCAATAGATCACCGTGGCGAGCAGCGGTGCAGTAGTTCTCGTGATTCCACGAAACAGTTGATGCGTTGCCCCAACACGTTTACGAAAAGAGATGGACTGAATCGTATACTCCAACAAACTTGCTTTCGCATATTGCTGTTGGCTAAACGTAATATGACCTCGTAATTTGTTTCTAATTTGCGGCCATTTGTCAACAGCTCGGTAAACTCAACCTAACCATACTCTAGTCAACCTAACCCAACTGTTCGTTTTCTTGTCTTTCTTCATAATATGTAGGGACAACATGTGCTGAGTGCATGACCAAAACTAGTTGCGCATGTGAACTCATTTTTGCGTATATTCAATCTTAAGACCCTTCTCACAGTTTTAACATTAGATTTTCTGCAATAAATTTAGCCCAATAGCGGCGAGTGACTTCTGCGCACAATTATTCAAGAGTAGTTTTCTTGCGCCATGATGCGAAAAGCCTACACTCAGCCCCTAGCTACAAAAAAGCCTAATAGGCAAGCCTTAACTCTGGAACTATGACTTCCTCTCAACTTGCTGTCTAGGGTAACACACTTGCGGATTCTGTAAAGGCTCTGTTGTTTGTCCTAACGTGCGCTTGTTTGTGAGGCCAATTCTCGCATCGAACAAAGAGCGAAAAAATGAATTTCTGGGATTTGTGTCGCACCTGGGCTTGTTGCATGATCTGTTATAGAAGGTACTACCGACGCCAAGTTGTTCAAGGTGCATCCTTCGAAGCATCAAGGCGTCGCAGACTTAACGAGGCAGATAGTGTCAAACTGTGACATCGTACAACACATTTGTAGTACCGAATTCATGGTGAACCTTTCCCTCCTAGAGCTGCGTGAGCCGTCGTGCTACTCTTGCTCAGCCAGAAAACAAAGAAAAATGCAAGAGGGGGATGGCTGCCTCATTTGTCGTGGCAAGCTTTTCAGTCCTCCATTTAGTGTTGAACACATACAAAACAGTAGCGTGACGTGAACGATGCGGAGCAAATTGTGTGTGGCCACGTCGCTCGCTTTCAGTTTCTTCAGTATTTCAGCTAAAGCGTGCCTTAATGGTAAACACAATAGCCTCCGCCAGGGGGACCGCTTTATTGTTAGTTGCTCTCGACTGAATATTTCTTTCCAATTGCTAAATGTACTTGTTTATTGGCGTTGCCTTTTGGAATGATCGTCATCAAAATTATATGGTGGCAGTCGTCGCTAAATGAAGCTCTCTGCGCAGATATTATTTCATATTCGAAGCGCTATGTGCGGATTATCACTTGAGCTACTGCTGTTACGGATGACATTTCGGTGCTTTCTACGAGTCCTCTTCAGTTCGTCAAGCTTTGGATTATCTTTCCGCACCTGGCAGTATATCATTTGGCCGGTTCTTCTATGCAAGGAAGACTAGCATTTGTCGGTCAACGCATGTGAAGTCGACGTCATAAACCTGCGGCGTCGTTTAAAATCAGACTTGAATTTTCTTGTGCCGTAGACATGTTTTCCACAGCCATATACGTAAATTGCCAATGCAATGCTTATGTTTTGAAAATGTAAAGGTAAAACGACGTTTCTCAGCGAATGCTTATCTTCCTTTTGGTGTCACGCGCACAGTGAACGTCGTGCCACTGACGGGGAAGTTCAATGAAAAAACTCTTGGCTCTAAAACATTTTTTTCTCCTAAATTATGTTTGTAAATTGCTCGCAAGGAGAGTGGAGTCCAGCGTGTGGTAGAAGCAGTGCGGCCGGCAGCGTTTTTGCATACAGCTGTTTCTGGCAGATCAAGTGGGCGCCTCGCGAACACTTCTTTTTATCCTCTTCAACAATGCCCCTTCATATTTGTGATCACTTGTTTTCTTCACTCACAGGAGGATGCAGACTACACTCCCAACGTTGTTGCTGGCGGCCGTCGCCACGTTGTGTCTCGCAAACGACGCATCGAAGGCGCCGCCTCCTACAAGCCAGCAACAGCAGCAGCAGCAGCAATTCTACCAACCTCCGAAGCCAGGTAAAGCACACATGTGTAGCAAAGTGACCGAGAGCAACAATAGAATACGACGTGCGTGCGGCTGAGCCATTGTTTCTCGCAGTTGCAAGTGTTCTTTGTGCTCTCTGGGGCGAGTCATGACAGCGTTTGCGACTGCTCCCTGTTATAGGTAATGCATAGATTCCTGCAAGCAAAAAAAGCTTTGCAAAAGAGCAATGCTTTACAGAAAGTGCAAATTGATCAGTAGCAGAGCTGTTTCAAGTCGAGGTTAGTCATAAATCACCTGAGTTCCCGCAGCTGAAGAAATTGGGTAAACCATACTACTCGGAAGAAGTTTGGCTTGGACTTCGTTGGGCATGGTCTAGTAGGAATTCAGCATCGACGTATTTGTCCAGCCCAAAATGAACGAGCACGGATAAGGAGCCTGTGTTGCGTTCTCTCACCTGTCTCAGTTCATTTCGCACTACGCAGATATGTCGGTTCCACTATACTCACCTCTGTTCCACTAAAGATGAAGCTCTCTATACCTGGTATTTTATTTACATATACTGTCGTCTCATTGCGAGACATTGCATGAGTGGGCACAAAATGTGCTTGAAAATCAGGCATAACATAAAATAAATTAGGACACAAATGAATGCTAAACTGTGTGAATCAACAACCATAAAAAGGTGTCCAAATATGCGTATAAAAATCTACATTGCATGAATTAACCCTTATTGGATGGTAGAAAAAGGCACCAATATACTAAAACTGCCGTACTCATTTAGAACTTCAGAACCACATGCTGATGAACGCTTTCTGCAAATTGTGCGGGAGGTGGCTGGTGATGTGCGCTGTCCAGACTATTCCAGATTTCCAATGTGGATGGGAAAAATGAGTATTTGGGACTATTTACATGTGGGTGGAATGAGACAAGAAAAAGGGGGTGATAGCCAAGAGTAGCATGAATTGGAAGCTTCACAATTGAGACTGAAGCTGTCATTACAGATGATTCATGTACAATGTTATGTAGAGTGACAAGCCTTTCGCACGTGCGTCGGTGTCCTAGTGTTTCAAGTGATAGATTATATGCGTGCGATGAAGAAGAGAAGTGGCGATTGCATCTATTGTAAAACAACTGTTTGGCTTTCTTCGGAAAGATTGCAACTTGTCTATGTCACAAGAAAAGTACGGGGACAAAACAACCGACGCGTACTTTAAGATTGGCCTGATTATGGTTTTATATGCAGTTAATTTGCAGCTTTTAGTAGCATCCGTCAATGTAAAATTTATGTAGAATAATTTACTAAGGGCTTTCGGATGAATGGGGTCTACAAGTTTCCGCTATTTGAAATTATGTGTGAAAATCACCCAAATGTATTTAAACTCATCTACTCGTTTAATGTTGGTTCCACTGTAGCCGTAATGAATGGGTAACGGCTTAAGCTCATTGGAGAAGGTCATTAGGTTACGGGATAGTTGCCTTGAATCACTGCAGGTACAGAACCTAGGAAAAAATTCTAACTTATTAGGAACTCGCCAGCACTCGTGGAAATTACAGAATATCGAAAGCAGTCATTTGCATAGGCGTGAAGATTTACTGGCGTATTTCGAATGACATTCACGACGTCATTAATGTAGATGACAAATAAAAGCGATCCGAAAACAGAGCCGTATTTCGGGAATGCCGGATTTAAATTCTATGGTGTTGCACTTTGCTTTGTGAAAAAAAAAAAAAAAACATGCCGGTGTCTACGAAGCAGGTAGTCAGTGATCCAAGAAATTAGTGCGTCATTTTTTATTACCTCACGAAGCTTGAAAGGAAGTTTTCTGTGACAGACCAAGTCAAAAGCTTTAGCGTAATCTCTAAATATAAAATCCAGCTGATTTTAAAGTACCAAAGATATCTCATGTGAAATTTGACGAATTGTGTGAATATGAAGTAGCCCAGTCGAAAACCAGGCTGGCTGGACGAGATCAGAATATTCTCAGTTGAGTGCCTAAATATGTGTTTCTGTACGATGTTTTCCAGTTTTTATATATGGTAGATAACAATGAAATGGGCCTGTAGTTAAAACTTATCTGCTTTTACAGGTCTTAATGGCTGGGTTCATGTTAGTGGTCTTCCATATGCAAGTAACGGTATATAGACGTCTCAAGTGACTTCCTAAAGACGATTGTTAAGTAGCGAGCATTTCACTCAGAGTAACGTTTAAGAAAAATGTTAGGTATGTCGTCAGGACCACTGATTTCGGTTGTGTTAAGATTCAACGAAAGGCTATGCAAGCCTTCATTAGTAAGAACAATGTCAGAGGGGGCTGGAAGGGTGGGAGGGTCAAAAGGTGGAATGGAGGCATTGTTATTGACGAAAACAGATTCAAAGAAGGGATTGAACGGTTCGGAAATGGTGGAAGGCTCAGAAGAGAGGGTTCCATCAATAAGGAATGACGAAATACTAGAGTCTTCGGGGTTGATTGTTTTCCATAACCGCGGTAGGTTTTCTTTGAGAACAGAGGATAGGGTGGCGTGGAAGTTGAAATGTTTCGCCTCATAGATTTTGTCTTTCAGTGTGGTCTATAGTGAGCTTAAAAGACTAAGGAACGGTCTTTGTGACAACGTTTACGAACACGTTTAACCCGATGAAATAGGCGAATTATTTCCCGATTGATGATTCATTGATATGTGGGGTTTATTGTCCCGAAACCACCATATGATTATGAGAGACGCCGTAGTGGAGGGCTCCTGAAATTTCGACCACCTGGGATTCTTTACGTGCATTCAAATCGGAGCACATGGGCCTACAGCAGGATTTCCCGATTTTACCATGGATGCCATGCGCGTTGCGCTTCACACATTTCAAAGGAACGTGAATAGTAATGCAATTGTGAAAAATATTGTGCAACATGGTGACCAGATCATCAACATCATACCGGGAACTACGAAGCAAAAATTTGTCGTATGCACCGGCCATTCCGTGCTGAATGCGCTGGTTCTCGTCCGTAGAAGCAAGTACATTCACATTCGACAGGCAACAGTTCACTGCGTTGTTCACAGGAGGAAGCTTCACGGGAAACATAACAAAATCGATGAACAGTAACTTCAAACACTCGCCACCACTTGTGATCACCGCATTTCGCAAGGCGGAACACGCTTTAGAACATAACGCCACGTGTAATGACAAGCGAAGGCGCAGTCCTTAAGCTCCCACATTGCAATCCATTGAGTCCTCACAAAGATGGCACCTAGCGCGCATTGTGCCTTTTCGGCGTCTGCTAGCCCGAAACCTGCCCAAAACCTTTCAGAAAGCCTCCACGACTAAATTATCCTGAAAGCGTATGGTGATCCTCGGGCTCCCCGCGGGTCGCCAGAACCATCCAACCCGAGAAAAACGAACGCCAACCGGAAGTGCGCTGTGGGGAGGGGGGGGGGGAGGAATGAAGCAGCCCGAGAAAAACGAGCGCGCCCTGGCTGGCTCTGGCAGCCCACGGGTAGCTAGAAGTGGAAAATCGAAAAGCCCCAGTGATAGATATAAATAGCCGGCCGTTTGAGTGGGGAAGAACGTTCTTCGGGGTGGCTCAATGGTTAACGCGTCGCTTTCACGACGCAGAGGTCCCACGTACGATTCCGCGCACCGGAATGTTTTAAAGATGATAGTCTTTCTTGGGGACCTTCAACGCAAAAATTGTGAACTTTCTGTTCATTTGTCTGTTTGTCCACCCTTAGCGGCACCATCGCATACCCCGAACGGCCGACCCCATCCGCAGCACCCCCAACGTTGCTCAAGATTCAGCGTTCATACTTGTGTGATTGTCAAATAAAAATAAATTATTGCGCATATCTGAGGCACCATAATAACACGCATATATTCAGTATGTGCGTCTCTTACTAGAAAGGGCACACATAAGTTCTTCTAAGAACCGTAGCGTTTACCACACGGCGCTGACCATGTAACGCTTGCACGTAAAGGGAAGTGTTTCTAACGCTCTTTCGCCAAGAGGACACGGGGGTGGCACCTACCCGTCGCCTTGCGTTTTACACCTTATCACCTCTGAGACGGGCGCATACGCCCGTCTAAGAGGTGATAACTGCCTGATAGCGCTCATGTCTCACGTGTGACGTGACTTGATGCGCTCGTTCGCCTCCGCTGTGCGTTCGAGGCAGTCTAACGCAGCGTCTCCAGAATACCATTCACCGATTTTCTTGCGCAGAACATCAAATAAATGTTTTGTTCAATCTCTCCATATGCAAGACTATCGTCTTTCAACGACATTTGCAGATTTACATGTAGATATGGGGCCAAATGTTTTTCTGCATTTTTTCTTTCTTGCGTTTTGACATATATAGATACGTATACATGTACGGTGCATGACATCGACGCCAGCGGCAAAATCAAGCCGAGAGTGTTCATATAATTGCTATCGCAATAAAAGACTTCTCTGCAACAACCAAATTTCATGCCGCAGCCAGACCAGAGCAGAGCACTTGTGCAGGGCTTTTGAAACTGTGGCAGAACAGTCGAGGTTCCGGTCGAGCCAGGAAGGGCGCAGGAGCGCCAACTAGATGAGGGCGGATTGCCGGGGCGTGATGCAAATGGTCACTCGAAGCATAGAAGCGATGTACACATGTCCAAGTGGGCACGTGAAGAGCAATAGAACCCAAATAATGAACTGCGCAGCTGCCCGACAGGTCCATCATTACTGACGAAATTGCGAACATTGAAAATAGCAGTGATCCGCAAAACGAAGAACACGTAACTGCAGCGACCAAAATTCACTTAATCGCTGTACTAACTAGAACATGTTAGATATAGCTGTGACTAGGAAATTGAAATTGGTTCATTTTTTACTTTCTGCTTGTTTTGCACTGATTTGATGAATTGTACGTTATATGTGTAATAACAGTGTCGCTACTCCTATAGTGTAATTAGAGATGTACACCACCTCTAAAGAAAACGTAGTTTTATGTATGGTTTGGTTCTTCTCTTCTAATTATTGTAGACTTGTTGTTTATCTTCGTATTTTGGAAAATTAGGTAAAATA